AGAATTGTGTCCCCTCACCTATTGACTGACTTTGGTAGTCCAATCATGAATCCGTGTGATGGACTGTGGGTCATGGGAACTACTGGGTCAGTTAGAGAAAATGAGCGTGGTACATGATGGAGTGCATCAGTATCTTCGCATTTTCCTTATCATGGTTGGATCTAAATCCCATCAAATTAATGTAGAAATGATTAATTTGACTATAAATGATTTTTAGGATGGCGTTGAATTTTTAGAAGTCTCTGGATATTTAATTTTCTCAAAACAGATTTATAAATAAGCTTAAACTGAATTTTCAAATATTTAATTATTCAGAGAGAAATAAAATATTAAATATTTTCTAAAAATCATTATATTAATTTTAAAATAAGTACGACATATGGGAGCCCATTATTCTCCATGAGCCCCACCAAATTATAACATGTGGGGAAGTGCATGGCGCCCACTAGAGGTCCCATTGGTGGCACGCCCCACATAATGCATATAGTTTCTTATTTTGATGGCATGCAAGATATGCCACTCAATCAATTGAATTGAAAAGGGAAGTTTTTGAAATAAATACTATTTGACATTTCAAAGAGGAATGTGTAAGAAAATGATGAAAATAAAAGGCAATAATTTTGAATTATATCTACACCATATATGTGATGAGATTAGGTTAAGGAAACTGAGGGATAAGGTTCTAGTACCTTCTATTAGATTATAATGGCTATATACTATAAAGCTAAGATCTCTCACCTCACAGGTCTCCTATGATCAATGGTTTAGATCTAATCTCGATAAGAATCTCTATAAGTTTGGCTAATCCTAGAAACCCTAACCCTAAGCATGAGTCTACAAATAGTCTCTTTTGGGGTCCCATTCTCTACAACTAAGATCACATCTCTCTCTCTCTCTCTCTCTCTCTCTCTCTCTCTCTCTCTCTCCCCCCCCTCCCCCCCTCCCCCCAAAGTAGCCTCACGCCACTCTCTTTGATCTCTCTCATCTCTCTAGCCTTCACCATACTTAGAAAAATTATCTTGAAAAGAAAGAGGGGGCACACCCAAACCATTGAGCCTAGAGGGGCATACCACACCCACATAGTCATGAGCCTTATTTAGCTTCCACATTGCTCTCACCATTGAAGGGTTTCTAGCTTAGGCTTCCCATACTTGTAAGATCTGATAAAGACCATGATCCCGTGCACCATTGGAGGAGGAGACCTTAGTGGGGTGTATCAAGTCCAATAGAGGTAATCTTTTGGCACTTTAATTTTTGTTTATGCAATTTGTGGTTCTTGTTCTCAAATCAATGTCATGTAATTTTTGTTCTTGAAATAAAAGAGTTGTATTAAGTGGCAGCAAGTGAGAATCCATTTTGTGTTTCTTTATTTTTTGTGTCTATTTTGTATCATTTGGACCTCAGTAAGTGTTTTAGCCGGTAGAGAAAAGAAAACTTTTTAACTACATATACCGTGCTAGTTCACCTTGTACAACTTTCAGCAACACCTTCGAAATTTTTAGTGAATAGCACATCAGCTTCAACGCATTCCATCTTCCTATCCCAAAGAGACAGCAGCCCTATCAAGAAAACCCTCCATTTCTTAGGAGCTGCAACCTGCAGTCTTCTTCACCCCCACATTCTTAATCACGGCCTTCACATCTTCAACGCCTTTCCATTTCACAGATGACAAGTGTACATTCACCAAAAGTACATGGAAATTGGCATACTGCAGGGCTCAACCCAAAAAGCCCTCTTCAAACTGCAGAGACTTAAGAAGATCCACCAAGTACAGATTATGCTTGATCATGAGCACCATCACATAGCAATCCAAGATAAAATATGCCAACTCTACACCCTCAACACCACTAGCTGCATACGTTGAGGGCACCAACAAAAGTGAGAATGTTCAGGACAATGCTGGCCTCTACCAAATACAGGAAGAAGTCAAGTACATGACAGTCGTGCCATGTGTGGAATGCCAACTAATGGCAGCATGTGAAGCAAGATGGTGTTATTAGGCTTGCAGAAGGCAACTGATTGCAACTGATAAATCACTCCATTTTGCATGCATATAGATAAGGTCCACGACCATTTTGTTCATGAGGATCATCCTCAACATGGTTTTTCTTTAAGTAAGTGTGGATCCACTTTGTAGGATTAGGATATCGGAAGTGAAAGAAGTTTTGAGAAGGACGAATATAGGAAAGGCTTTAAGACCAGATGATATCCGATAGAGGTTTGGAAGTGCATGGGGAAGATTGGCATTAACTGGCTGACCAAGTTGCTCAAGAAGATGTTGAGAACAAAAAAAATGTCAGACGAATGGAAGAAAAGTATTGTGGTACTTATTTACAAGAACAAAGGAAACATACATAATTTTGCTAACCATCAAGGGATGAAACTTATGAGCCACACTATGAAGCTCTAGGAGAGAGTGATTGACAACTACGCCATGAAATGAGTCCACCAGAAAACCAATTCGGATTTATGCCAGGGAGGTCAACAACCGATCCTATTTTCCTACTTAGGCCACTGATTGAGAAGTTTTAAGGAGAAGGGACAGACCTCCACATGGTCTTTATCGATCTAGAGAAAGCTTATGATAGAGAACCTCAACATTTGATTTGGTGGGTGTTGGAAAAGAAAGGATTCTCCAAATGCTACATCAACTTGGTGAAAGAAATGTACGATGAAACACTGACTAATGTATAAACAAACTAATGGAGAGACGAGTGAGTTTTTAGTGACAATAGGTCTACATCAGGGATCAGCATTGAGTATGTACCTCTTTGTATTAGTTATGAACGACTTAATTAGGCACCTACAAGTTGAGGTACCGTGGTGCATGTTGCTCGCAGATGACATAGTTTTGATCGATGAGACCCGAAACGGTGTCAACAGAGGGATGCTCTAGAATCTAAAGGTTTAAAGTTAGTCGGACTAAGACAGAGTATATGGAATGCAAGTTTAGTAATAATAGAAATAGAGACGAGGAAGTAATTAATATTGACGGCCAGGAAATACCAAAAAGAATGCACTTTCGCTATCTTAGGTCGATAATCCAAGAAAATGGAGAAATTGAGGAAAATATTGCACACAGAATTAGAGCTGGGTGGGCGAAGTGGAGATGTGCAATTGGAATTTTATGTGATCGACGCAGACCAAAGAAACTGAAGGGCTAGTTCTATAGGACATCTGGGAGACAAGCTTTGTTCTATGGGTTAGAATGTTGGGCAGTCAAAAAACAATATGCCAATAGAATGAGTGTGGCAGAGATGAGGATGTTGAGATGGATGAGTGGCAAGACAAGATGGGAATTCGAAATGAATACATTCGGAAAAATTTAGGTGTGACACCAATAAGCGATAAGATGAGAGAGAATAGACTTAGGTGAGGAAATACCAAATTCTTCCACTATAGAAACGGGTTTTCGGAAAATTCAAGGAAAGAATCTCTTGTTCCTCCGAAAGGAATTCTTCCAATAATTCCAAACCTAATATTTTCAAAATTATGCGTACCGTGCTTTTATGTTTATGAGCCAAAGTTCTAGCACATGAAAGTCGAAGTATATATTTATTCGACACAAACTGCGTTTTTTGGAGGATCCACTGTGTTAATGAGAGATATTTTTGCATATCCACCCAAATTGATCCAAAATATCAGAATCTTTGGCCATGTGTAGCGCAAACCCAGTACAGCACCTGTTAGGAGGTGCGAGTTAGTTCAAGTGGAAGGCACAAAAACGGAAAGGGGAAGCCCAAAAGGACATGGTTGGAAGTAGTGAGAAGATACAGGGACCTATGGCCTCATTGAGGGTAAAGCCTTAATAGAGCAAATGGCAGACCACGATTCGTGTAGACGACCCCAATTAGTTGAGAAAAGCCTTTGACGATGATGATGAAGTGTGAACCTACTTCCCTTGAAAGAGGCCCACTAAGTCAACTTATGGAAAGAACTCCCTGTAGAGTATGAAATGCAAAATAAGAATGAAGGTGTTTCACACGTAGAGTTTATTGGGCACAAAGTCTTATTCAAGGCCCAGATATGGACCAGCTTGCCTTCTATGATAGAGAAATTAGAATAGGGGAGTGGAGGGAAAGACAAGGCTTCGTGGTTGGAGAGGAACTGGAGGCGACAGAGGCAGCAAGTAGGAAAAGAAGTAACCAGGAGGTGGCCTGGAGAAGGTTTTGATGGGGGTATTAGAAGAGAACAGGCAGGAAATGGGAGCCAGGAGAAGGTTTGATGAGAGTGTTACAGAAGAGGTCAAGGGAGGTTCAAAGCTGGGACAATGCATGTAAACTATGTGTTTCAGTGAATTCATAAAACAATCATAATTGAGGATTCTGGTGCAAGAACTCCTCAAAATGTGGAAACTCCATTACTCCGCCACCAGCTGAGCGACAGCCTTGGCCTCCAACAATCGACCCAAATTCCGCCCCTTAATACGCCCAAGTTTAACATAATATCTGATCCACACATTTAATCTCTTCATTTACCTAACAAAATTCCCCCAATAATTGATCACTTCATTGAATGAAAAATCTCTGCTCTTTACGCAAAAGCTCTAACAATTCAGATGCCTCATCCTCATTATTATCATATAGCTAATTGTTCTTTCTAATAGCAACGATTTCGGATAGAATTTTGTCACTTTTGGTGCACAAAAAAGCCAATGACTAATAAAAAAGAAATGCTAGAGAATGGATCTGGCTTTCTTGTGGTGTTTGCAGGCAGTTTGAGATGGGTACTAGAGATGAAAGGGAGAACAGAAAAAAAAAAGTAACAATTCAAGCAATGATAAATACACAGACCATATATATTTTAGTTTCCACTAATGAGGCATTGTAGCATCCGTTAGTTTACCCCTATGACCCATAAACTTAATAGTATGATGCAAAACTGTGGATCAAACAGGTCACCAGCACACAAAGGAAGCAGTAAAAAACCTAAGTGACTTTGAAATGGCAAAATAATATCAAGCATTTTAGTTTTAGAACAAATTACAAAGGGATGGATACCTCGTAAGAACGAATCATAATCTGGGAACAATTTTTCTGTAGTGCACCCCAAGCAGCTTTGCTGAGATTTGCTGATGTTAGAAGAAACCAACTGTTCAAGGACACCAGATCATATTCTGCACTAGGAAGTGATTAATGATATTGCTGCGAAAAGCCTACCTTAAAAAGGTCAAGAAAGGTGCAAACTGCAATTAATACATAAGTCAAGGTTGAGTCCTTACGCAAGACTTTGGCCGTTATAACGGGTGTATGTTTTTATGTGGGGCATTGCACGACTGCAACAACAGAAAGGGCAAAAAACAGATTATCAGACTGGGGGAAAGAGACGTGCAGCAACCATTGTTATATTTCACACATTGAATGACAAGCCAATAAATTAATTCAGAAAGCAATACATTCACGCATGATGTTATTTCTAAACAATATTGGCAACAATATTTCTATGTATACAAGTTACACAAGGCTATTTATGGTCTTAAGAACACTCATAAAGCATGATTTTCCATTCTAATTTCTTATTTCTAATATTTCTTATTTTTAAAATCCTAGTACCTCCATCCCTTAGTAATCATTAATCATTAATCATTAATCATTAATCATTCTCATGTATTTGGCAAGTCCCCATATCAAGGTTTTTTTAGTTGTTTGGTCAGACACTTGCAACAGGGAGAATTTTTTTTTTTCCTTTTTCAAAGAAATACAACACAGAGAGATTTACACGGACATCAACATTCAGGTAATATTGCAATGCATATAGCTGGCAGCTTTGGCCAAGATGTGTGTTAATTTAGTGTGACACAATCTTGTCATAGAAGCTGTCACATTGAATTATCATAGCCTTCAGCATGTGCATTTGTTATTCAACGAACAGTACACGATACTATGAACAGAAAGAGCTAAAGCGATGTCCATCAACATTAAAATGCAGAAGAAAAAGTACATTGTAATAAATCAGAGAGAAAAGGTTCATTACAATAGTCACAAGAATATAGCTTAAATATTTCCCCAACTTCCACAGAAACAACAAAATCTAAACATACCAGCGTCCAGTGTGATCTGCTTTCCATCTGGACCAATATTTCCTCATAATGTCTTTCTCTACATTCTTTTGAGGGCCGGGAATGCAACTGCCAGCAGCATAACCCTATTTAAAAATCATAAAAATAGATTAGGTTACAAATGAAACAACATTCTAGAAACTAGCAAATATAACTAAATTAAAACCATAACCAGCCCCAACAATTCCATCTTCATGTAAATGGATGACGAATAATCACAAGAGTTGCTACTAAATCTGCACAGGAAAGTTGAACATCACCTCACACTAAAATAGCTAGACTCGCTCAGTAAAATAGCTAGACTCGCACATTTATTTGAAAAGCGGCATATCTTTTGGGTTGTGAGGCACATTTTCCTTTTCCCAGTTTTCTTTAACACTGAATAGCGCATAAAACCTAGGTGTATTTTACCATTTTCCTAAGGGCAATTTATATGTTTGTAAATGTGCAATCTACACTTTTCTACTAGCAAATCCTAGTCATGGATAAGAAGTAAGAAAATATAATACACGCATCACCATGTGTGGGCGCCTTCTCCAAAGAATTATATCAATTTCTTAGCTTATTATCAGAGCAGGTTGAATCTGCAAATCAATGAGGACTCAGTAAACTGATTTGAGGACTCAGTAAACTCAGATACAAAAAATGGGGAAATGGTTCAAATCAATGTGGTTAACCCATAAGAAATAGATATATCAAATTTTAAATGAGACATCATACATACCACTAAGAAGCACATAGTACAAGGAATTTCAGTAGCTAACCCAAGATAATTCTGGACCATATGTGAGCAACACTTTTTTAATTCCTAGTCTGCTTTCAAGTCTGCACCATGGCAACTTGGAGACAGGTGTCCCAATGTAGACACGAGCTCCAAAACATGGTTTTAAAATGTGGTCGCATTGCCGCATATGCAACCGCATAAAGCATTATGAGCTGGGCAGCGCATCGTAACAGGCCGCATATGCGCTTTGGAGAGATGCGCCCGCATATACGCCGCATCTCTCCTCATATGCTGTTGCATCCCGCATAATCCGCATATGCAGCCAGTCATTTCCATGAAAAAAAAACCCTCGAGCAGGGGTATTTTGGACATTTTGTGACCTGAAAAAAGAGCGGAAAGGGTTTGGGAGGGTAATAAACCCCCAAACAACTAAAAACGTATTGGTTGATGTTTGGTTGAGCGGAAAGGGTTTGGGAGGGTAATAAACCCCCAAACAACTAAAAAAGTATTGGTTGATGTTTGGTTGTTGATATGTTTCTTTTGGATGTTCATTTGAGGAAGTTTAAGAAACGTTTTGACAACAAATCAAGGGTTTCAAGGGCCGAGAAGAAATCGATACTTGCTTCAAGTAATCAGTAACTTTCTTTTTCTTACTACAGTAATACTTTTTTTTGGAGCAATGTCTTCTTCCCAATCTTCTAGTAACAAGCGACATGGAAATATGCAAAACTAAAAAATTCGAAAGATCGAAATTGTATGATTTGTGGAAATACTTATATAGGGGGTGCTTTCGGCAAAAAGAACACTTCACCAGCATTTCTAGGAATGTAAGAGCATGCCCACAAGCTAACAAGGAGATAGAAAAAGATATTAGAGAATACATGGATAGCTTGAAAAACAAAAAGAGAAGAAAAAAATGAAACAAAAAGAATTAATTGATGAAATGTAACTAATTGATGAAATGCAATTATTTGATGATGAAGAAGATGAGGATATGTCAAAAGTTGCAATGAGGCAAAAGGGTACTCCAATGTCAAGAGAGAGGGATATAAATATTCGTGGTAGTATTGGAAAAAACACACATCTCTAAGGGGCCAATAAACTAGTTTCACGTTTCTAGTTTCTATCAGGGATAGTTGATAGAAATGTATACATTTGGATGCAAAAACTAATTTTCTAAGCAAAGAGGTTTCGAGCAGGCCATAGCAGCTCCAAATCCATTATGTTACACCCCATGATCAATCACCTAAAATTTAACAGTGGGTTTGAACCCCTGAAAATTCTCAATTTCCAATAAAATTATAAACCTGATATGAACCACCATTTCATGGATGTGAAATCACAGTTGTTAGGATTGGGAGCGAGAGTGGGACCAGAAGTAGAATCTAGATCGGGATTGGGGGACGTGAAATGCTCAAATATCCCTATGATTGGGAGCAATACATATGTTAGGGGTGAAGATTCCCAAATATTAGGGATCGAGATCCCAATGTTTTGGGGATTTGATTCTCAAAAAAAAAAAAAAAACTTTTTGGTGATCTTGATCCTGACCTTTTAGGATCTTAATTCCAAAAATATTATGGATGGAGATCCCAACTTTTTGAGGATCTTAATCCTTACCTTTTAGAATCTTAATCCCAAACTTTTGGGATCTAGAATCATATCTATTCTCTAGAGTAGGTAGTAATTTATAGCCAGGAAACAATGCAACTACACTAAAACTATAGATGTGTTGCTAAATGGCTATAAATAAAGAAAATAATTAGTTGGGCTATTGTCTTAGTCTTTAAGTTTGGGATCGAGATCCCTAACAATGAGAACAGAGGTCCCTAACAATAGGTATCAAGATCCCAAAAATTTAGAAATCGAGATTCCTTTCTTAGAGAGGAAGCGACATCTTAGAGAGGGATTGCCACCTATTCGAAAGATCCTGACAGCTATATGTTAAATTGATCAAATTTACCAAATCTGATTTAGAGCTTATAACAATGTCCAAATCCAAATTTATCACATGTCAAATAATTTTTAGGTCTTTTGGAGTGTTTTTAGGTCCTAAAATTCATGAAGTGGAATGGAGTTTGAGATGTAGCTGCATGAGTTTGTGACGCAGAGTACATCAAAAAAAGACTCTGTTTTTTATTAATTTCAGTTTATATACTAATTCTGTATAAAAAGGTGTAAATATCCGCATCTAGCCACATCAAAATGTCCATACCATATTTTTAAGAGTTGTCTAATGCAACATGTCTGTCAGCAATTAAACCAGTTTGTGTCTTTGTAACAAAGAAGTCCCTAAACATTCTTGTCCTCTCAAGAATATTTGCCATGCTATTTTTAACATAGATGGATCGGGATTCCTTGGATGCAAATCAATTTCTTGTTGAGTCTCAACGATCCATGAGTTTGAGATCCAGGTTTAAGAAGGTGAGCATCCTTGAAGGATAGCTTATTTTGATGAAGGGTCCCATTGGCTTCATTTATCGAAGGAAAGGAGACGAGACAACTTCCCCGTGGGAGATGCCTGCTGCTGATGTTCTGAGACTAAGGAAGACAGCCCTGAATGCCCGCAATATCACGTCATGAGGGTGGAAGGTTGCGATGAGGGCCTGTCACATATTGGAGAGCTTTTTCGCTATGGCAGCATGGTGAAGTTGGAGAATTTTGTGATGTGAAGTTGTCTGCTGGGTCGTCAGGACGCTTTGTCATGTTATTCACATGCATATTTTTCATTTTGTTTAGTTCATGAGGGGCGGATTCTTTTGCTAGTGCAGTCCATAATGTAACGTGGTAAGTCCAACCAACATTCTTGTCCTCCCAAGAACTAGCATAAAGTCAAACATGGATGCCGTGATTCAGTCCATGGGCTTCATCTATGAAGGCCAGGTATCAGACTTAAGCACCGCCTTTTGAGACCGGTAGCTTCTCAGGTATCACCCAAACCCAAAACCTTGAGAGGAACAAGGGAACAGCTTAAAACTCATCAAACATGAATTATGGCCGCTCTGGTGAACCCTCCGTACTTCCTCTCTCTAGGATTTTCCCCTAGACAATGTCCATCTCTCATAAAAGCAAGATGCAGACTAGGGATACTCCAAATTCTCCAAAATTCTAATTCTAATTCTAAACAATACAGGCCTAGGAAAGCCCCTCTCGTGTTAGAAACAACATCGATTAGAGCCCTCACCCACTCTCGTGCCCCAGATGTCTTGGCCATCACTGAAACCAAACTCCCCACCCCTTTCCTTTCTTTGGGCGTGGAAGCTAGGGAACCAAACCTTGTCATTGTCCCTTATCTAACCCTCATTTAATTTTTTGGGTACATAGCCCTCATTTAATTAGGGTTAGAAACAATATAGATATATATCTTTGAGTGAGGCCCCTCGCTCGAGAATGAATTGGGGTCACGGCACTCTTCTCTAGCTTCCTCTCTATCCCTCCCTACCCATGTCACAACTTGTTCCTCTCTCAAGTATTCAAGGTGACTTTTTAACATCGTATCAGAGCAAGGTTCAATCATCAATGTGTCCCATTGATCTAAGATGTCAAAATATCTCTTTTTGATATTTTTTCTTTATGATTCATAATTTAGAATGATCATGGTCCTGAAAATATCAACTTTAAACCCTGATTTGTCCCCGTGGATTTTCATATCTCTCTTAACCCTAAATCTCTTCTCCAAAAATCTCTTATTTACCCTAAGTTACCCTAAACTCTTTATTTTGACAAGAACCAAGGTTCAAGAGGCAAATGCAGCCGCCTATGCGGTCCGGGGTCTGGGACACCCATGCGCCAAGGCAGCCGCCTCGGGGGGTGCCCAGACACAAAGGCAGCCTAGATGATTCATGTTCTTTGGTTTACCTTCCATATTAATTAGAACTGAATTAATACTATGTTTTGGTTTACCAATAAATTAATCATTATTATTACTTGCAAAACAACAAGCGGCATAAAAAGTCTAATCCTTCCATATATTAATTAAAACTGAATTAATACTATTTTTTGTTTAACAAAAAATTAATAATTACGAATTATTGCTATTTTTTGGTTCACTAATAAATTAGTAATTACTATTATATGCAGAAAGCATTTTCAACAAGTGGCATAAAAACTCTAATGCTTCCATATATTAACTAAAACAGAATTAATACTATTTTTTGGTTTACTAATATATTAGTAATTATTGTTACATGAAAAACGACAGGTGGCATAAAAAGTCTAATCCTTCAATATATTAACTAAAACTGAATTAATACTATTTTTTGGTTTAATAATATATTAATAATTATATTACATGCAAAATGACAAATGGCATAAAAACTCTAATCCTTCCATATATTAACTAAAATTGAATTAATAATATTT